TTTGCTTCAATAGAGCAATCAGGGGCGTGAAACTTTAGTCTTCCTTTACAGAAAATCCAATAGTGCAACACATTCGGCAGAAAATGACTTTATTTTCATCAGATGACAACAGAAGTGCAATGCTATTTGGCTAGCAACCACACAAGTAAATGAGCTTAATGATGCATGGCCATCCTATTTCTAATGTTTATCATAGAAAGAATGCAACCAGCTACATTTACTAACGTTTTGCTCTAAGTTAATCTTGCATTTTACCAGAGAAAGGCACCGGAGAAATGTAGCTACACAGTCAGAGCGCTGTCTGCTGATATAATGCAGTTCGGGTGTGCAACTGAGGCACAAAATTAGTCTGATGCCAGGCAGAAATTACAATAAGAAGCATTTTAGATCTGCGTAAACAAAGCGCAGCAAGATACACTATATATACACAAAAGTATGTGGACACCCCTTCAAATTAGTGGATTCGGCTATTTCAGCCACACCCGTTGCTGATAGGTGTATATAATCGAGCACACAGCCTTGCAATCTTCATAGACAAACATTGGCAGTAGAATGGCCTTACTGTAGAGCTCAGTGACTTTCAACGTGGCACCGTCATAAAAAAAACAACAACATTATTTTACCTTTATTTAACTAGGCAAGTCAGTTAAGAACAAATTCTTATTTCCAATGATGGCCTAAACTGGCCAAACCCGGACGATGCTGGGCCAGTTGTGCGCCGCCCTATGGGACTCCCAATCACAGCGGGTTGTGAGCAACAATGGCTCAGCCGCGAAATGGTAGGCCACACAAGCTCACAGAACGGGATTGCCTAGTGCTGAAGCGCGTACCGCGTAGAAATCGTCTGTCCTCGGTTGCAACACTAACTAATGAGTTCAAAACTGCCTCTGGAGCAACATCAGCACATTAACTGTTCGTCGGGAACTTCATGAAATGGGTTTCCATGGCCGAGCAGCCGCACACAAGCCTAAGATCACCATGCACAATGCCAAGCGTCGGCTGGAGTGATGTAAAGCTCGCCATCATTGGATTCTGGAGCAGTGGAAACGCATTCTCTGGAGTGATGAATCACGCTTCACCATCTGGCAGTCCGATGGATGAATCTGGGTTTGGCAGATGCCAGGAGAACACTACTACACATACTAATGCTCATGATTTTGGAATGAGATGTTCGAAGAGCAGGTGACCTACATACTTTTGATCATATTTACACTACCGTTCAAAAGTTTGGGGTCACTTAGAACTGTCCTTGTTTTCGAAAGAAAAGCAAATTTTTTGTCCATTAAAATAACATCAAATTGAACAGAAATATAGCGTAGACATTGTTAATGTTGTAAATGGCTATTGCAGCTGGAAACGGCTGATTTTTAATGGAATATCTACATAGGCGTACAGAGGCCCATTATCAGCAACCATCAGTCCTGTGTTCCAATGACACGTTGTGTTTGCTAATCCAAGTTTATCATTTTAAAAGGATAATTGATCATTAGAAAACCCTTTTGCAATTATGTTAGCACAGCTGAAAACTGTTGTGCTGATTAAAGAAGCAATAAAACTGGCCTTCTTGAGACTAGTTGAGTATCTGGAGCATCAGCAATTGTGGGTTCGATTACAGGCTCAAAATGGCCATAAACAAAGAACTTTCTTCTGAAACTCGTCAGTCTATTCTTGTTCTGAGAAATTAAAGCTATTCCATGCAAGAAATTACCAAGAAACTGAAGATCTCGTACAACGCTGTGTACTACTCCCTTCACAGAACAGCGCAAACTGGCTCTAACCAGAATAGAAAGAGGAGTGGGAGGCCCCGGTGCACAACTGAGCAAGAGGACAAATACAAAGGACATTTCTAAGTGACCCCAAGCTTTTGAACGGTAGTGTGTGTGTATATATATATATGTGGCTACTTTGAAGAATCTCAAATATAAAATATATTTTGATTTGTTTAACACTTTTTTTGTTACTACATGATTCCATATGTGTTATTTCATAGTTTAGATGTCTTCACTATTATTCTACAATGTAGAAAATAGTCAAATTAAAGAAAAACCCTTGAAAGAGTAGGTTTGTCCAAACTTTTGACTGGTAGTGTGTGTAATATATATATATATATATATATATATATATATACACAGTGGGGAGAACAAGTATTTGATACACTGCCGATTTTGCAGGTTTTCCTACTTACAAAGCATGTAGAGGTCTGTAATTTTTATCATAGGTACACTTCAACTGTGAGAGACGGAATCTGAAACAAAAATCCAGAAAATCACGTTGTATGATTTTTAAGTAATTAATTTGCATTTTATTGCATGACATAAGTATTTGATACATCAGAAAAGCAGAACTTAATATTTGGTACAGAAACCTTTGTTTGCAATTACAGAGATCATACGTTTCCTGTAGGTCTTGACCAGGTTTGCACACACTGCAGCAGGGATTTTGGCCCACTCCTCCATACAGACCTTCTCCAGATCCTTCAGGTTTCGGGACTGTCGCTGGGCAATACAGACTTTCAGCTCCCTCCAAAGATTTTCTATTGGGTTCAGGTCTGAAGACTGGCTAGGCCACTCCAGGACCTTGAGATGCTTCTTACGGAGTCACTCCTTAGTTGCCCTGGCTGTGTGTTTCGGGTCGTTGTCATGCTGGAAGACCCAGCCACGACCCATTTTCAATGCTCTTACTGAGGGAAGGAGGTTGTTGGCCAAGATCTCGTGATACATGGCCCCATCCATCCTCCCCTCAATACGGTGCAGTCGTCCTGTCCCCTTTGCAGAAAATCATCCCCAAAGAATGATGTTTCCACCTCCATGCTTCACGGTTGGGATGGTGTTCTTGGGGTTGTACTCATCCTTCTTCTTCCTCCAAACACGGCGAGTGGAGTTTAGACCAAAAAGCTCTATTTTTGTCTCATCAGACCACATGACCTTCTCCCATTCCTCCTCTGGATCATCCAGATGGTCATTGGCAAACTTCAGACGGGCCTGGACATGCGCTGGCTGAGCAGGGGGACCTTGCGTGCGCTGCAGGATTTTAATCCATGACGGCGTAGTGTGTTACTAATGGTTTTCTTTTAGACTGTGGTCCCAGCTCTCTTCAGGTCATTGACCAGGTCCTGCCGTGTAGTTCTGGGCTGATCCCTCACCTTCCTCATGATCATTGATGCCCCACGAGGTGAGATCTTGCATGGAGCCCCAGACCGAGGGTGATTGACCGTCATCTTGACAACTTCTTCCATTTTCCAATAATTGCGCCAACAGTTGTCGCCTTCTCACCAAGCTGCTTGCCTATTGTCCTGTAGCCCATCCCAGCCTTGTGCAGGTCTACAGTTTTATCCCTGATGTCCTTACACAGCTCTCTGGTCTTGGCCATTGTGGAGAGGTTGGAGTCTGTTTGATTGAGTGTGTGGACAGGTGTCTTTTATACAGGTAACGAGTTCAAACAGGTGCAGTTAATACAGGTAATGAGTGGAGAACAGGAGGGCTTCTTAAAGAAAAACCGGCAGTGTATCAAATACTTGTTCTCCCCACTGTATATACACACACACTGAACAAAAATATTAACGCAACATGTAAAGTCTAATGAATTTATTTCAATTGACTGATGATTTCCTTATATGAACTGTAACTCAGTAAGATCTTTGAAATTATTGCGTTTATATTTTTGTTCAGTATATATATGTTTTTTCCCCCATTCTTCCCTTCTCCTTATTATTTTGTGTTAAAGTTTATCCGTTTTCACCCCATCCAGTAGGTGGAGGCATGCACCTCTAACACTGTTTGCGGACCGCCATAATACCATAGAAGAAGAAGTGTCCACAATCATGGGTGGGTCTGAGGATGGGAAGAGAAGACTGGAGGAAGTGCGATTGAAATGAAGGCGTTACAATGGCGTTAAGTTTAAACCAACGTCCCCGGAATACAAGCCAACTGGAATCACTTAAATCTACTTTATCGCTTGAGAATCTTGAGATGGAGGTGGATAGTGGGAGTTCAGAGATCGAATCCCACGAAAGTGAAAAGGAACAGCCTCCTTTGACAGGTGTGGGGAAGGCTTCAGAGCCTCAACCTAATGAGCAGGGAAATGCTCGAGATGAATCTGACCCAGTGGGAGTGCGTTTCGTGGAGAAAGTGGAGCCATGTTTTCTGGCCGACCCATTTGTGGTATCTGGTTGGGTGGAGAAGAAGGTGGGTGTTAACTCTGTCTAAGTATCCAGAAGTGGACTTATTTCGATTTTCTGTGCGTCTTCCACCCAGAAGTGGGCGCTCTGCCTCACTCGCCACAGGACAAGAGCTGTGTCTTGCTTTTCTCTCGGGGGCAGAGCACCACTGAAAGGAGGGATTTCGGGGGTGGCTTTGAGTGTGAAGATGGATCAACTGAAGTTGAGGAGCCCTGGTCTCTGTGATACACGCCATTTGGTGAGACACAGACCTGGTGGCGAGCACGAGACTGAGGAGACCCTGTCTATCCTAGTTTTGATATTGAGTGTTTGTGTGATAAAGTAATGCAAGGATATGAGTAATCCTGTGAAAGCGTTTGTTTCGAATCCGTTTTGATGTTTCAGGTGCCAAGGTTATGGTCATGTAGCAGCAGGTTGGTTTCTTGGTGTTCATTGTTATGGTAATTAACTGTACAGCACAGATGGAAAGGAAGTCACAGAAGCCAAAAGTAGTAGTAGCAGCAGCAGAAAAGTTATTGGGAGTGAAATATGTTGTGGCAGAAGAGTTACAGGAGGTGTTCAAAGACTGAGTCACATTATCACAGGCCAGGAGTAGGAACGGTTAGGGCAAAGTAGTGGAATAAGGGGCGTGTTTTGGTTTTATAGTTATGGGTGGTGCAATTTAAAATTTCCCCGTTCCCTTTATTTTTTGTTTTGTCACGATGTGGAGTGCACACTTCGGGCTGAGAAAGGCAGCAATACGCCAAAAAGCATCTAGTTTGCCGGAAATTCACACGAAGAAGAAGTGTTCACGTAGTACGCACGACGTGTTGTTGTGCGTGGAATCTGACCAGGCAGCTTAACGCATTTGGGAACAAATGTTTATCTTTAAAGCACATCTGATGCTATAATTAACAATTCGTTGGTTGTATGGGAGATTGAAAGTGCAGTTTTATTTTTTACAAGGGATCAAGAACACGTTCACTTGCTCTAAAATATGGCTTCGTCTGATGGGAACAAAAACACGGAACCATGGGGCGGTTTTGATGACAACATTATCCAGGTACTGTATTGATAGCTAGCCAAGAAAATGCTTAATATGTATCGACTATTTTATTATATCACTGTACATCGTCTTTAGTGTTGCCAAACTATATTTTACTCTGTAATACATGTCATCATCCTACTGAAAATTGACAAACCTTGGCCCACAATGTTGTGGTAGGTAGTTAGCTAGCCCAATAATAGACTAGCTAAATTAACCTAACGTTACTCCTAAATCAAAGGACCTTACATGTTCTGTTTAAGGCGAATTGGCTAATCTAAAAGTGAATCATTCTTAATTGTGGTACGGTTCTAGAAACACTTACAAATCCCTCTTTAAAATCACATCAAAATAATTTCACAAATGAAAAACACCGTTTTAACACAATTGCAGTCGACAGTATTTTGGCATCGGTCTTCCATTTACGCAGATAGCTAATTAGCACATGTAGTCCACTGTATTCCGTCTGTTTTCGTAAACAAGCGCTGTAACATGGATATGGCCGTGTGGGAACGCTAACCCTATAAACGTATGTAGTAATTTAACCTTTAAAAAAATATATGTTTTAAAGATTTCTTGCTGATATGTTTCCAAAACCGTACCACAAGCGATGCGTGTTAATGTTTAGCTCAAGCGTTGGGGTTCTTAACAAACCTCCTCTGGTCAGAAGATACTGCAGTTAGCGTCTTTGAATGGGGTAGCTAGTTAGCTAACCATAAACTAGAAATATCCTTATTTGTGTTTCTTCCTTATTCGTTTCACGTGGTGACTGTGTAAAAGGAAACATTGACAATTTGCTTGTGAAACATCATTTCACCTAGATGGATATACAGTAGTTATATCTAATAAACTATCTTACCAGGGCACTGGTTCAGCAGTGATTGACATGGAGAACATGGATGACACATCAGGCTCCAGCTTTGAGGACATGGGGGAGATGCACCAGCGCATGAAGGAGGAGGAGGTGGCAGAGGAGGCAGAAGCAACTGAAGAGGAGACTGGGGAGGATGGCGAGTTTCTGGGCATGAAGGGTATCAATGGCCAGCTGGGGAGACAGGTGGCAGATGAGGTGAGCTGAGAATGCTTTGTGATGCTGATGATGGGCAACAACCTGTCACACACAACATTACCTTTGTTATGAAATGGGCTTTGCCATAACCCAATATTATAAGTTACATCTCAATAGTCTTGTCTGGTTAATGTTGCAGTCTTAACTTTGACTTTCATCACACCTTTGTCATCTGATGAACCGAGTGGCGCAGTGGTCTAAGGCACTGCGGCGCAGTGGTCTAAGGCACTGCATCGCAGTGCTATCTGTGCCACTAGAGATCCTGGTTCGAATCCAGGCTCTGTCGTAGCCGGCCGCGACCGGGAGACCCATGGGGCGGCGTGCAATTGGCCCAGCGTCGTCCAGGGTAGGGGAGGGAATGGCCGGCAGGGATGTAGCTCAGTTGATAGAGCATGGCGTTTGCAACACCAGGGTTGTGGGTTTGATTCCCACAGGGGGTATGAAAAATTATATAATGTATGCACTAACTGTAAGTCGCTCTGGATAAGAGCGTCTGCTAAATGACGTAAATGTAAATGAACTTTCCCTCATCCTCTTAGGTGTGGCAAGCAGGAAAGCGTCAGGCTTCCAAAGCTTTCAACCTATATGCCAACATAGATATTCTCCGGCCGTACTTTGATGTAGAGCCTATGCAAGTTAGAAACAGGTGAGAGTCGGTCACGAATGTGTTTGTAATCACAATGTTTAACTTGTAAAATAGTCTCGCGGAGTCACATTTTATTTAAAAATGTCGGACATTTACGCCTCTTTTCTACTCTAGGTTGATTGAATCAATGATACCCATCCGCATGATACATTTTCCACAGGTGAGTGGAATTTTCTTTTCCCATACTATTTTCACAGGCCGGGGGGAGATTTAAATCTAGAGGCTTTCAGCGCTTACCTGGCCAATTAAAGGAAACATTAATGTATTCACTGCTCCTATTTTCCAACTATAGAAGATTGCTGGGGAGCTGTATGGGCCCATGATGCTGGTGTTCACGCTGGTGGCCATCCTCCTGCATGGAATGAAGACATCAGGAACAGTTATTGTAAGAGAGCTCAACTTATACTGGCTTCGTAAATGCATGTTAATATACAGTATGTATAGATTAACATTTATTATGAAGCTCAGGGATACTGATGGTAGATTAATTAAAACTGTAGATGGGGGTAGCCATCAACTCAAAACCCTTTTGACATTATGAAACCAAAAGCCATCTATCTGTTCAGCTTTTGCAGCTCAAAAATATAAATTACTGCTCATGTAACACTCATGTGGTTTGTTCATCCTGCATTCTTAAGATATATTGCCTTAAGAAAGTATTCATACCCCTTGACTTATTCCACATTTTGTTGTTACAGCCTGAATTCAAAATTGATAAAAAAGAAAAAAATAATCTCACCCATCGACACACAATGCCCCATAATGACAAAGTGAAAACATATTTAGAATTTTTTGCTAAATTATATGCTATGACACTCCAAATTGAGCTCAGGTGTATCCAATTTCCTTTGAGACATCGATACAACTTGATTGGCGTCCACATGTGGCCAATTCAATTGTTTGGACATGATTTAGAAAGAAACACACCTGTCTATATAAGGTCCCACAGTTGCATGTCAGAGCAGAAACTAAGTCCAAGGAACTGTCCGTAGATCTCCATAAAATTGTGATAAGTTCCTTCAGAAAGTATTCACACCCCTTCACTTAATCGACATTTTGTTGTGTTACAGCCTGAATTTAAAATGGATTCAATTGAGATTTTGTGTCACTTGCCTACACATAATACCCCATGTCATAAAAATGGAATTATGTTTTTAGAATAAAATAAAAAAAAGTTATTACAAATGAAAAGCTGAAATGTCTTGAGTCAATAAGTATTCAACCCCTTTGTTATGGCAAGCCTAAATAATTTAAGGAGTAAAAATGTGCTTAACAAGTCACATAAGTTGCATGGACTCACAATGTGCAATACAATTATTTTTGAATGACTACCTCATCTCTGTACCCTACACATACAATTATCTGTATGTTCCCTCAGTCGAGCAGTGAATTTCAAACACAGATTCAAGCACAAAGACCAGGGAGGTTTTCCATGCCTTTCAAAGAAGGGCACCTATTGGTAGATGGGTAAAATTATAAAAGCAGACATTGAATATCCATTTGAGCATGGTGAAATTATGAATTACACTTTGTATGGTGTAGCAATACACCCAGTCACTACAAAGATACAGGCGTCCTTCCTAACTCAGTTGCCGGAGAGGAAGGAAACCGCTCAGGGATTTCACAATGAGGCCAATGGTGACTTTAAAACAGAGTTTAATCACTGATAAGAGAACTGTGGATGGATCAACAACATTGTAGTTACTCCACAATACTAACCTAATTGACAGAGTGAAAAGAAGGAAGCCTGTAAAGATTACAAATAATTCGAAACATACATCCTGTTTGCAACAAGGCACTAAAGTAATACTGCCAAAAAAGTGGCAAAGCAATTCATTTTTTGTCCTTAACACAAAGTGTTATGTTTGGGGCAAATCCAATACAACACATTACTGAGTACCACTCTCCATATTTTCAAGCATAGTGGTGGCTGCATCATGTTATGGTTATGCTTGTAATTGTTAAGGACTGAGTAGTTTTTCAGGATAAAAAAGAAACGGAATGGAGCTAAGCACAGGCAAAATCCTAGAGGGAAACCTGGTTCAGTCTGCTTTCCACCAGACACTGGGAGATGAATTCACATTTCAGCAGGACAATAACCTAAAACACAAGGCCAAATATACACTGGAGTTGCTTATGAAGATGACATTGAATGTGCCTGAGTGGCCTAGTTACAGTTTTGACTTAAATCGTCTTGAAAAAAAGAAACCGGCTGTCTAGCAATGATCAACAACCAGCTTGACAGAGCTTGAAGAATTAAAAAAGAATGTGCAAATATTGTACAATCCAGGTGTGCCAAGCTCTTAGAGATTACCCAGAAAGACTCACAGCTATAATTGCTGCCAAAGGTGCTTCTATAAAGTATTGACTCAGGGGTGTGAATACTTATGTAATAAAGTTGCACAAATTTCAAAAAACGTATTTTCACTTGGTAATTATGGGGTATTATGTGTAGATGGGTGAGAAAAAAAACATATTTAATCAATTTTAAATTCAGGCTGTAACACAACAAAATGTGGAATAAGTCAAAGGGTATGAATACTTTCTGAAGGCACTATATGTTGTCTATCTGACCTTGATTAGGCCTAATACATTGTTCTTCATCCCTGGACAGAGAGAGGGTACTCTGATGGGCACAGCCATAGGGACATGCTTTGGTTACTGGCTGGGAGTTTCCTCCTTCATATACTTCCTGGCATATCTGTGCAACGCCCAGATCACAATGCTCCAGATGCTGTCTCTGCTGGTGAGTCAACAATGACCATCACTGTCTGAAATGTCTGCTCTACCCAAAATTACAACCAAATAATTGCAGCCTTACCGCAAAAGTGGAAGAGGAAAGTGGAAGGGGGAGAAAGTAAGGAACTTGTCTGTCGGCCTTGCATTAAAGAACATAATTGGTTAAGGAAAACTGTGATAAATAAAAAAGTATATCAGTTTCACTTAAGGACCAAAGGATTGACAGCCGTCCCATAAAGATTGCAAAATAGTTGGGAAGAGATCTTTGACGTACCGATCCCATGGCATAGTGTTTATGAACTGACACGCAAAACGACACCAGATTCAAAAATTAGAATCTTTCAATTTAAATTATTATATAAAATTCTTGCTACCAATAGAATGTTATTTATATGGGGGATACAATCTTCCCAGCTCTGCAGATTTTGCTGTGAAGAGACAGAATCATTAGATCATTTGTTTTGGTTCTGTCCATTTGTAGCTTGTTTTTGGACACAGGTCCAGGAATGGCTAAAGGATTGCAATATTTACCTGGAACTAACCTTGCAGATAGCATTACTGGGTGATCTGAAAAGTCATAGTCAATCAATAATATAATAATACTTTTAGCAAAAATGTTTATTTTTATTTCACAATCTGTAGAAGCAATGAGAATAGAAAGGTTCAGAACTTTTGTAAAACATCACAGTACAGTTGAAATATATATGGCAAATAGAAATCCTATATGGATGGTGTTAAGAGATAGATGGGAGGTATTGAATAGAGTTGAAGGATGGGACTAATAACAAATAACAACAAATAATAACAAAGATAGCTAATAATGTAAGCATACTGTGTCCATAATAAGTATATAGGTTGTATGTTGGGAGCTTTTGGGAAAGAGCACAGTTAGAAAGATATGGCATATAAAAGCAAACCGGATGGACATCATGAAAATGATCGGAGAGGTTGAGAGTAGAAGAAGTTCAGGAGCAATAAAAAAAAAAAATATATATATATATATATATATATATATACAGTGGGGAGAACAAGTATTTGATACACTGCCGATTTTGCAGGTTTTCCTACTTACAAAGCATGTAGAGGTCTGTAATTTTTATCATAGGTACACTTAAACTGTGAGAGACGGAATCTAAAACAAAAATCCAGAAAATCACATTGTATGATTTTTAAGTAATTCATTTGCATTTTATTGCATGACATAAGTATTTGATACATCAGAAAAGCAGAACTTAATATTTGGTACAGAAACCTTTGTTTGCAATTACAGAGATCATACGTTTCCTGTAGGTCTTGACCAGGTTTGCACACACTGCAGCAGGGATTTTGGCCCACTCCTCCTTACAGACCTTCTCCAGATCCTTCAGGTTTTGGGGCTGTTGCTGGACAATACGGACTTTCAGCTCCCTCCAAAGATTTTCTATTGGGTTCAGGTCTGGAGACTGGCTAGGCCAATCCAGGACCTTGAGATGCTTCTTACGGAGCCACTCCTTAGTTGCCCTGGCTGTGTGTTTCGGGTCGTTGTCATGCTGGAAGACCCAGCCACAACCCATCTTCAATGCTCTTACTGAGGGAAGGAGGTTGTTGGCCAAGATCTCGCGATACATGGCCCCATCCATCCTCCCCTCAATACGGTGCAGTCGTCCTGTCCCCTTTGCAGAAAAGCATCCCCAAAGAATGATGTTTCCACCTCCATGCTTCACGGTTGGGATGGTGTTCTTGGGGTTGTACTCATCCTTCTTCTTCCTCCAAACACGGCGAGTGGAGTTTAGACCAAAAAGCTATATTTTTGTCTCATCAGACCACATGACCTTCTCCCATTCCTTCTCTGGATCATCCAGATGGTCATTGGCAAACTTCAGACGGGCCTGGACATGCGCTGGCTAGAGCAGGGGGACCTTGCGTGCGCTGCAGGATTTTAATCCATGACGGCGTAGTGTGTCACTAATGGTTTTCTTTGAGACTGTGGTCCCAGCTCTCTTCAGGTCATTGACCAGGTCCTGCCGTGTAGTTCTGGGCTGATCCCTCACCTTCCTCATGATCACTGATGCCCCACGAGGTGAGATCTTGCATGGAGCCCCAGACTGAGGGTGATTGACCGTCATCTTGAACTTCTTCCATTTTCTAATAATTGCGCCAACAGTTGTTGCCTTCTCACCAAGCTGCTTGCCTATGGTCCTGTAGCCCATCCCAGCCTTGTGCAGGTCTACAATTTATATCCCTGATGTCCTTACACAGCTCTCTGGTCTTGGCCATTGTGGAGAGGTTGGAGTCTGTTTGATTGAGTGTGTAGACAGGTGTCTTTTATACAGGTAACGAGTTCAAACAGGTGCAGTTAATACAGGTAATGAGTGGAGAACAGGAGGGCTTCTTAAAGAAGAACTAACAGGTCTGTGAGAGCCTCTACATGCTTTGTAAGTAGGAAAACCTGCAAAATCGGCAGTGTATCAAATACTTGTTCTCCCCACTGTATATACAGTGGGGAGAACAAGTATTTGATACACTGCCGATTTTGCAGGTTTTCCTACTTACAAAGCATGTAGAGGTCTGTAATTTTTATCATAGGTACACTTCAACTGTGAGAGACGGAATCTAAAACAAAAATCCAGAAAATCACATTATATGATTTTTAAGTAATTAATTTGTATTTTATTGCATGCCATAAGTATTTGATCACCTATCAACCAGTAAGAATTCCGGCTCTCACAGACCTGTTAGTTTTTCTTTAAGAAGCCCTCCTGTTCTCCACTCATTACCTGTATTAACTGCACCTGTTTGAACTCGTTACCTGTATAAAAGACACCTGTCTACACACTCAATCAAACAGACTCCAACCTCTCCACAATGGCCAAGACCAGAGAGCTGTGTAAGGACATCAGGGATAAAATTGTAGACCTGCACAAGGCTGGGATGGGCTACAGGACAACAGGCAAGCAGCTTGGTGAGAAGGCAACAACTGTTGGCGCAATTATTAGAAAATTGAAGAAGTTCAAGATGACGGTCAATCACCCTCGGTCTGGGGTTCCATGCAAGTTCTCACCTTGTGGGGCATCAATGATCATGAGGAAGGTGAGGGATCAGCCCAGAACTACAGGGCAGGACCTGGTCAATGACCTGAAGAGAGCTGGGAACACAGTCTCAAAGAAAACCATTAGTAACACACTACGCCGTCATGGATTAAAATCCTGCAGCGTACGCAAGATCCCCCTGCTCAAGCCAGCGCATGTCCAGGCCCGTCTGAAGTTTGCCAATGACCATCTGGATGATCCAGAGGAGGAATGGGAGAAGGTCATGTGGTCTGATGAGACAAAAATAGAGCTTTTTGGTCTAAACTCCACTCGCCGTGTTTGGGGGAAGAAGAAGGATGAGTACAACCCCAAGAACACCATCCCAACAGTGAAGCATGGAGGTGGAAACATCATTCTTTGGGGATGCTTTTCTGCAAAGGGAACAGGACGACTGCACCGTATTGAGGGGAGGATGGATGGGGCCATGTATCGCGAGATCTTGGCCAACAACCTCCTTCCCTCAGTAAGAGCATTGAAGATGGGTCGTGGCTGGGTCTTCCAGCATGACAACGACCCAAAACACACAGCCAGGGCAACAAAGGAGTGGCTCCGTAAGAAGCATCTCAAGGTCCTGGAGTGGCCTAGCCAGTCTCCAGACCTGAACCCAATAGAAAATCTTTGGAGGGAGCTGAAAGTCCGTATTGCCCAGCGACAGCCCCGAAACCTGAAGGATCTGGAGAAGGTCTGTATGGAGGAGTGGGCCAAAATCCCTGCTGCAGTGTGTGCAAACCTGGTCAAGACCTACAGGAAAAGTATGATCTCTGTAATTGCAAACAAAGGTTTCTGTACCAAATATTAAGTTCTGCTTTTCTGATGTATCAAATACTTATGTCATGCAATAAAATGCAAATTAATTACTTAAAAATCATACAACGTGATTTTCTGGATTTTTGTTTTTAGATTCCGTCTCTCACAGTTGAAGTGTACCTATGAAAAAAATTACAGACCTCTACATGCTTTGTAAGTAGGAAAACCTGCAAAATCGGCAGTGTATCAAATACTTGTTCTCCCCACTGTATAATAGAATTATTGTAAAATTAACTCTGTCCATAAGGTGTAGATGGTAAGTATAGACCGGAAGTAGAGGCCTGGGCATTGTTGTTCACTAATTTACTCCAAGTAGGGAAAGGATGGTGGGGTTGAAAAGTAATAAAGGGGAGTATATATATAAAAAAACAAAAAACAAAAAAAATAAACATGGGGGATTGGTAGTGATGCAGACAATTACATTGATAGAAGATACAATCTATCTGCAATATTAAGCTGATCCATTCCCCCCCAGATAAAAAATAAAAATAAAATAAATATAAAAAAAAAAATATAAAAAAATATTTTAAAAATTATAAAAAATATTAAAAAGTAAAAAAATACAAAAAATAAAACCATGACCATAACTCCCCTCACAGCATCCCTGTGTAATCAGTCTGTTATAAATGCAGTGTGAAATCTCACTGTCTGTTCTACTATGTGCCCCCAACAGGGTTATGGTCTTTTCGGGCACTGCGTGGTTCTCTTCGTCACCTACAACGTCCACTTCCACTCCTTGTTCTACATCCTGTGGCTGGTCGTAGGAGGGCTCTCCACACTGCGGATGGTAAATAAGCAGATCAATTACTACAAGTCCCAAGAGCCCCTTGACACTTAGACACTCGCTGACGTTCACACTGGGCACGTTTTAGTGCTAAGTCGGGGGAGGTGCAACCGCGACAGCCAGGCTCAGATCAACATGCCATTGTTTAGTTTTTCTTTATAATGTTGAAATAAACATGTCTCCAACCCCCATATCACACACTCACAAACTGAAATCATGTGTGTACATTATACAATCAATTAGTGAGAGAGAGCCTCAAATATCACATTCATTTTGTATACAGTGCCTTCAAAGTATTCATACCCCTTGACTTATTCCAAATGTTGTTGTTACAGCCTGAATTGAAAATGGATTAAATATATTTTTCTCACCCATCTACACACAATACCCCATAAAGAAAAAGTGAAAACATGTTTTTAGATTTTGTTTAACATTTATTGAAAATGAAATACAGAAATATCTCATTTACATAAGTATTCACACCCATGAGTCAATACCTTGTAGAAGCACCTTTGGCAGCGATTACAGCTGTGAGTCTTTCAGGGTAAGTCTCTAAGAGCTTTCCAAACCTGGATTGTGCAACATTTGCCCATTTATTATTTTCCCAATTATTCAAGCTCTGTCAAATTGGTTGTTGATCATTGCTAGACAACCATTTTCAGGTCTTGCCATAGATTGTCAAGTAGATTTAAGTCAAAACTGTAACTCGGCCACTCAGGAACATTCACTGTCTTCTTGGTAAGCAACTCCAGTGTAGATTTGGCCTTGTGTTTTAGGCTATTATCCTGCTGAAAGGTGAATTCATCTCCCAGTGTCTGGTGGAAATCAGACTGAACCAGGCTTTCCTCTGGGATTTTGCCTGTGCTTAGCTCCATTCCATTAATGTTTTATCCTGAAAACTCCCCAGTCCTTAACAATTACAATCATACCCATAACATGATGCAGCCACCACTATGCTTGAAAATATGGAGAGTGGTACTCTGTGTTGTATTGGATTTGCCCCAAACATAACACTTTGTATTAAGGACAACAAGTTAATTGCTTTGCCACATTCTTTGCAGTATTACTTTAGTGCCTTGTTGCAAACAGGATGCATGTTTTGGAATATTTTGATTCTGTACAGGTTTCCTTCTTTTCACTCTGTTAATTAGGTTAGTATTGTGGCGTACCTACAATGTTTTTGATTCATCCTCAGTTTTCTCCCATCACAGTCATTAAACTCTAACAGTTTTAAAGTCATCATTGGTCTCATGGTGAAATCCTTGAGTGGTTTCCTTCCTCTCCGGCAACTGAGTTAGGAAGGACGTCTTTATTTTTGTAGTTACTGGGTGTATTGATACACCATCCAAAGTGTAATTAATAACTTAACCATGCTCAAAGCGATATTCAATGTCTGCTTTTTAAAATGTTTACATATCTACCAATAGGTGCCCTTCTTTGCGTGGCATTGGAAAACCTCCTTGGTCTTTGTGGTTGAATCTGTGTTTGAAATTCACTGCTCGACTGAGGGACCTTACAGATAATTCTATGTGTGTGGTACAGAGCTGAGGTAGTCATTCAAAAATCATGTTAAACACTATTGCACAGAGTGAGTCCATGCAATTTATTATGTGACTTGTTAAGCACATTTTTACTCCTGAACTTAACTGAGCTTGCCATAATGAAAGGGTTGAATACTTATTGACTCAAGACGTTTCAGCTTTTCATTTTTTATTGATTTGAAAACATTTTGAAAAAGATAATTCCACGTTGACATTATGGGGTATTGTTTGGAGGCCAGTGACAAATCTCAATTTAATCCATTTTATATTCAGGCTGTAACACAACAAAATGTGGAAAAAGTCAAAGGGTGTGAATACTTTCTGAAACCACTCTATATCCACTGTATAGGCCTACATGAATCGTGGAAAAGTTGGTTCCTGTTTTAGTCATGTCTTTGGTCAAGTTTGCATGGGTCAAACAAAAACACCCTAATGATTGGTTGACAATAGAGCCTCCCACAATGCAGGCGATGGCTGCAGGATGAAGTAGGTGAAGAGCACCTGCAGAAACTTACAGTAGACTGCAGTCTACTTCATGACCTTTGATCACGTGATTTTTGTAAATTTCATGCAGTCGAACAAATTTTATCCCCATAATGCAACATTTGCTAAATTATCCGCTTGAACGCACCCATTATTTCAGTGATAGTCAGTCTGTCCCGCTTGCTCACATTATCCCTCGCTCTCGTTCTCTCTCAGGTGGCTGCTCTCATCTCTCGGACCGTGGGCCAGACACCACGCCTCATCCTCTGTGGAACACTGGGTGCTCTGCATATGCTCTTTCTATTCTACCTGCACTTCGCTTATCACAAGATTGTTGAAGGTAAGATTCCTCGGAAAGAAAACCAGAGCCCGTATTTACAAAGCGTCTCAGAGTAGGGGTGCAGATCTAAGATCATTTTTAACTTTTAAATCATAATGAATAAAGGGTGGACCTGATCCTAGATCAGCACTCCTACTTTATGACGCTTAATGAATACAGGCGTAGAGGTACAGTGCCTTCAGAAGGTATTCATACCCCTTGACTTTTTCCACATTTTGTTGTGTTACAGCCTGAATTAAAATTTTATTAAATTGAGATTTTGTGTCACTTGCCTATACACTATACCCCATAATGACAAAGTGAAATTATGTTTTTTTGTGTGTTCTTTAACAAATTCATTAAAAATGAAAAGCTGAAACGTTTTGAGTCAATACGTTTTCAACCCCTTTGTTAAGGCAAGCCTAAATGAGTTCAGGAGTAAAAAAATGCTTAACAAGTCACATAAGTTGCATGGACTCACAATGTGCAATACAATGATTGCAATAATAGTGTTTAAGATGATTTATGACTACCTCATCTCTGTACCCCACACATACAATTATCTGTATGTTCCCTCAGTCGAGCAGTGAATTTCAAACACAGAATCAACCACAAAGACCAGGGAGGTTTTCCAATACCTTGCAAAGAAGGGCACCTATTGGTAGATGGGTAAAAAAAAAAAAAAAAGCAGACAATGAGAATCTTTGAGCATGGTGAAGTTAATAATTACACTTTGGATGGTGACTTAAAACATAAGAGAACTGAGGATGGATCAACAATATTGTAGTTTCTCCACAATACTAACCTAATTGACAGAGTGAAAAGAAGGAAGCCTGTACAGAATACAAATATTCCAAAACATGCATCCTGTTTGCAACAAGGCACTAAAGTAATACTGCAAAAAATTTGGCAAAGAAATTAACTTTTTGTCCTGAATATAAAGGGTTATGTTTGGGGAAATCCAATACATGCATTACTGAGTACCACTCTCTATATTTTCAAGCATAGTGGTGGCTGCATCATGTTATGGGTATGCTTGTAATCGTTAAGGACTGGGGAGTATTTCAGAAATGAATGGAGCTAAGCACAGGCAAAATCCTAGAGGAAAACCTGGTTCAGTCTGCTTTCCACCAGACACTGGGAGATGAATTCACCTTTCAGCAGGACAATAACCTAAAACACAAGACCAAATCTACACTGGAGTTGCTTACCAAGAAGACAGTGAATGTTCCTGAGTGGCCGAGTTACAGTTTTGACTTAAATCTATTGAAAATCTATGGCGAGACCTGGCAAGAGCTTAAATAATTTTGAAAATAATAATGGGCAAATGTTGCACAATCCAGGTGTGGAAAGCTCTTAGAGACTTACCCAGAAAGACTCACAGCTGTATTCGCTGCCAAAGATGCTTCTGCAAAGTATTGACTCAGGGGTCTGAATGCTTATGGAAATGAGAGAGTTCTGTATTTCATTTTTCATAAATTTGCTAACATTTCAAAAAACATTTTCACTTTGTCATTATGTAGATGAGGATATGTTTTTTTTTTTTTTTGAATTCGAGCCGTAACACAACATTTTGAGTATGTGAAGGGATGTGAATACTTTTTGAAGGCACTGTACTACCCAAAGTGTGTGCAATTAGGACACTATTTTTGTTGTTTTGTCAAAACATCGGTCCTACATTTTTGACTATTGTATGTGACCCAGGATCGATCTATCTCGCTCTCTCTCTCTCTCTCTCTCTATATATATATATATATCAGTCAAAAGTGGGCAAAGCTGTCATCAAGACAAAGGGTGTCTACTTTGAAGAATCTCAAATATAAAATATACCGTATTTAGATTTGTTTAACACTTTTTTGGTTACTACATGATTCCATATGTGTTATTTCATAGTTTTGATGTCTTCACTATTATTCTACCATGTAAAAAATAAAGAAAAACCCTGGAATGAGTAGGTGTGTCCAGACTTTTGACTGGTACTGTGTGTGTGTGTGTACAATCTCCAAGAAAATGAGGTCATCCACAAAAGTATTTCATTGCAGTGTACATACGTCTTTCAGAGTAATGAAGGCCAATAATGTGAACTCAGGAAATTTAGTTGACTCCCCTGGTCCAATTTTAAACACATTTTAATTGCTTCTATTCAAAGACCCTCCAAGGTATATTCTTAAACTGGGTCTTGAATTTGATGCTGTATGATTAAAGAAATAAGAATTTGACATTTGTTTAAACATTTTTGTCTGAAGGTATCCTGGACACATTGGAAGGACCCAACATGCCCCCCATCCAGAGAGTGGCCAGAGATTTGCCTGTGGTGGCCACCTCTGCTATGAATGCTGTGAATACCACAGTGAAGATCCTTGGTGTTATTCTGCAGTCACAGTGATGGTGTGTCCAACGTCAAAGATGATACCACAGGCTCATGAGCTTGAATTCCATAGTGGTGGTGTGGTGTAGATAATACAGACTGAAGTGAAGGTCAAAGACCATGTTGGTGACTGGTTATAGTTGACATTTGACCTTCATCATTAAACATGAACATTGTCTCAGTAAACACCACCATCAGTTCACAACAACTCTTACAACTTTAATTCTCCATGGGAAATGACATGCTTACCCTGGTTGTTTATATTGTACCTAATCAAAAAACGACATGATGGAGTGAGATGTCATGTTGGTGCTGTAACTCTTTTCAAATGATAGAAAATTGCCTCCCTTTTCATAGGGGTCTTGTATTTGTTAAAGCAGCATGAGTGCACTAAGATTCCCAGCTGTTTGCATTTGTACTCATGTTAAGACTAATTAATCTCCAACTCGACACTTTCTCACCTCTTGTAGGCTTTGTTACACGGGTTATGGTGTTAACATCAATTGATGTTTTAAAATTCTAGACATTCAATGGGAGGAAGGTTCTAAAGCTGTGTGTGGTGCCTTCTATTGTTTTTCGAAGGAATTATGATTATCATGTATGCTATGGGGTAAATTAGAGTTTAATCTCTTGTTTTACACAATGCACATCCATTGTCTGTAATTTTAATAACCTAACCAGAAAATAACCAGGTATGCAGTTGATATGTCATATGAGATATGTAATAGTGCATTAACTTATGAATATTGTTTATCCTAATCAGCTTTTGTTTCATCCAGTCATTTGTTTTGTGCATTATTTGTGCTTCCTAACAACATTGTTTTTGGGTGGGATGCAAGGTGACCTCTTTTATTTTTATTTTACATGTGAAAATGTATTTATACGGTTATTGTACAGAAAGATACAATGGAAATAAACTTTGACCTAAGACAACATATCTTTTAACACTGACCCTGAAAAAAACAGCCAGGTCACCCATGATGCAAGTCAGTATTTGATGTCCAGCCATGTCTGAGGATGTCGAGAGATGATGTGAAAACCGGCCACTAGGGGCAACAGTGAGCGTTGTTAGTTTCAAGTAGGTTTCGGTTTTGCTATGGTGTTGGGGCTGGAAGATGGGCGTAAGCATCTGCCTCTGATTCCAAAGGTTGCAAGTTCAAATCCAGCTATAGAAAGTTATTTTTGTTTTAAGCCTATCCCAAACCTTAACCCTTACCATAACCATTTGGAGTTAATACCTATCCTTAAGATTTCGAAGTTAATGCCTAAACTTAACCTTAAACACTTCGGAATCTGACATTTGGAACAACTTCGAAATTTGATGTTTGAGAAACATGGATGAACGTCTAATTCTGACGTGAGACAGAGCTAGTTGGAAAAAACTGCAACAGTGTCTATGCTCATACTCTACTGATCAAGACAAAATCAAGAAGTCCTGCAATAACTCGCTTTATAACAATTGTTTTCAGAGGATGGATAGTTTCAAGTTTTAATAGTATAGTGGTTACTGTAGAGTAGACCATATGTCTCTACTGGGAGAGCCTCTTAGATAGTGGCTGATCAGCTGTGGAGAATTTTGTATGAAAACTGATTTCTTGGAGAGATTGTTACCTGTATAGACAAGCAAAGGTCAAATGTCAGGGTCACCATGGAGACGAGTAAAAGAAGAATGCACCAGAGTGCAATCTGCAGTGGCTACCAAACACCAATGTGGACTGGCCAGTATTTGTTCCAGTCAGTAGAGAAATGGCCTCCTTCAAAAAGATTACAGTTCAGCCTGAGATCCAACCCTCTCCATCATCCAGCTGACCCTTAAGGAGTTCTTCAGGGACACGTGGTGTCTTTCAGTCATGAAGTACTCACTCACAGCTCTACATGAGAGCATGGTAGAGCGCAAAATTGTGGCCTTCATGAAGAATGATTTAGATGCATATCAGAAGAGCAGGCATCTAAACATTTGGCCAACAAGGAGCGCTGGCACAGTGCCTGGAGCAAGGAGGAGAGCAGAAGTGTGAGTGTTGGGACAAGGTCCTGCCAAAGCACTCCGAGCCCAATGTTCAGATTGACCCCCTGTGACCAATAGCTAGTTAATGGCTGAGACAACACCATTAGGCTTACCTTTCTCATTTGAATAAATCAAATCAAATAAAACGTTATTGGTCACATACACATATTTAGCAGATGTTATTGCGGGTGTAGCGAAATGCTTGTGTTCCTAGCTCCAATAGTGCAGTAGTATCTAACAATTCACAACAATACACACAAATCTAAAAGTAAAATAATGGAATTAAGAAATATATAAATATTAGGCAATGTCGGAGTGGCATTGACTAAAATAGAGTAAAATACAGTATGTAAACATTATTAAAGTGACTAGTGTTCAATTATTAAAGTGACCAGTGATGCTGCATGTCTATGTACATAGGCAGCAGCCTCTAAGGTGCAGGGTTGAGTAATCAGGTGGTAGCTGGCTAGTGATGGCTATTTAACAGTCTGATGGCCTTGAGATAGAAGCTGTTTTTCAGTCTCTCGGTCCCAGCTTTGATGCACCTGTACTGACCTCACCTTCTGGATGATAGCGGGGTGAACAGGCAGTGGCTCGGGTGGTTGATGTCCTTGATTATCTTTTTGGCCTTCCTGTGACATCGGGTGCTGTAGGTGTCCTGGAGGGCAGGCAGTGTGCCCCTGGTGATGTGTTGGGCAGACCGCACCACCCTCTGGAGAGCCCTGTGGTTGCGGGCTGTGCAGTTGCCGTACCAGGCGATGATACAGCCCGACAGGATGCTCTCAATTGTGCATCTGTAAAAGTTTGTGAGGGTCTTAGGGGCCAAGCTGAATTTCTTCAGCCTCCAGAGGTTGAAGAGGTGCTGTTGCGCCTTCTTTACAATACTGTCTGTGTGGGTGAACCATTTCAGATTGTCAGTGATGTGTACGCAGAGGAACTTGAAGCTTTCACCTTCTCCACTGCGGTGCCGTCGATGTGAATAGGGGCGTGCTCCCTCTGCTGTCTCCTGAAGTCTACAATCAGCTCCTTTGTTTTGTTGACGTTGAGGGAGAGGTTATTTTCCTGGCACCACTCCGCCAGGTCCCTCACCTCCTCCCTGTAGACTGTCTCATCATTGTTGGTAATCAGGCCTACTCCTGTTGTGTCGTCTGCAAACTTGATGAAATGACTTTATGAAAAAATAAACACTGCCCCCTCCATGTGTTTTACAGTACTTTGTCAGTGGAGAAATTACATTCTGTGTTTGACTGTAGAATGTATAACTAAATGGGTTATGGCAAGGTGAAGCATTTACAACATTGAACAATGGAGACTTTGATGCAGCATACCATGCCCTCCATTAGTTCTCTGCTTTCTCTCTCCGCTCACTAGGGGAGCTATGGGATGTGGCTCTGCAAGGAGACATGAGATAGGCACAGTGGGAGGATACTCAGCTTCCACACCCTCAACCTGGGTGACTATCAATGAGGTGGAGGAGGCTTTGCTTATTCAGTAATCCATTGAATATATATTATTTAAGGGGCCATTGTGTGTTTGACCCAGATAACAGTGCAATGGGAAGATACTTTTACTGCTAAAGTAAAATCACAATTTAGTGTAATAATTCTGGTAATATTTCAAAACGTTTTAATTGGGAAAAGTTTTATAACATGCCTATCTATTTGGGAATCATGTTACAGTATGCACTAATTTGAGAAAACCCAAGGCCCGGGGCTAAGGATGTGGTATAGACAGGTGATGTATTTGGGCAGGGCAGACCAGCACTGCACGTGATCAATAGCAATAGCCATACTGTCCTGAGACCACGGCCATCTTCGCCCTCGACTAGCATTTTTCCTTATGGAGAAACATTTGCTCAGCCCTGCAATATTTCCCGAGGTCACTCTGCAGCCACACAGACTCTTCCGGGAGGAGGGTGCGCACACGCGCCCTGAATGAGGAAGACTGCATTAGTATAGTAAGCTAATTGAGAGCAACATGTGACAGTCAGAAAAGGACTTATTGCAGTGCCGTTTCTGGTGACATCGAGAAGTGTGTCTATAACCGATACCTGCAACCGTGGCAAACAAACGATCGCCTTCGTTTCAGTGCTATAAACCGAAGCTCAAAACATGACAGGAATGCAAACCGTTTGTTATGTATGAGGACCTGGAAAACTGCACGACATTCGATTCTATTTTAACGTAGCTAACATGTATCGACGAATGTATTAATTAATTGCCTGCATATTGCAGAAGAAGAATCGCTAAGGATTTAGCCACATTGGAGCAGTAGGTTATGATGTCAGGGCTTGAAACAGCGAATGGGGTTTATGATCGATTTAACTTCAGAAAACCTACCTCGCGTGCTTTTTCCCTATCCATAACCTAATAAGAAATGCTCAATTAAACCAGCTACAATACTGAGAGCCTTGCAGATTGGGGTAAATATCGGATATCCTAAACAATAGCATATTGACTTTGAGATGTCATTTAACAGTCTACCGACGTTGGATAGTTGTAGGCCTATGCCTAAAATGCATGTCTTTCTTAGCTGGGCACAGACCTTGAATGTAATGTAGCCTAATATACACATGTACCAAAATGCTACCAGGATCTATTCAAATAACTGGAGAGACACTGTCGGGAGCTGAGATCAAGGATATTTGTGACAGCCTGAAAGAGAACAGTGTGAGGCTTCTGTCTATCAGGGGATGTCAGCTTTCGGACCGAGACTTTGGACGGGTGTGTCGTGGTGTGGCGGAGTCCCACTCACTGGCGCAACTCAATATGAACCTCGGTGTGGTCTCCACCATCAACCGAACCAAGCATCTCGCAGATGCACTCAAGACAAACAGATCGATCCAGACCCTTTTGTAAGTAGCCTAGTAGATCACAATGAATAAGGTGTGTCGGTCTGATTGATTCATTGATTGGTTGATATTAGTGGTTGATATGGCTACTGTAGTCTATTAACTGATTGTAATCAGTATGGGTCCCTCAATTTGTGATCCAGTAAAAGCTCTCCATGGCATTACATGGGGAACCTGACCCTAATTACCATGATTATGCACATGAGCATGAACTCAAGTTGATGTCAATTTGAGGATGCTTTATCTAGCTTGAAAGGTGAATTAATTGGATGATCATCACTGGAACTTTTGTATTGAATGATATTCCGCATTTCTCTCTCCTCCCATCTCCCATATGCCACAGTCTCCATGGAAGCCCCTTCCTAGATGCAGGATTGGTCACACTCAACACTGCATTGTCCACTCACCCTTCACTGGTGTCTCTGGACCTGGGGGACTGTATGCTGGGAGATGAGGCACTGCGGCTTATCTGTGGCATGCTGCCTCCGGACGGGGCCAAATCAGGTACAGCCACTCAACACTGCTCTCACTGTTACTGGGCTGTCTGACTCTGAACCTGGCCTGCTAGGGGACAGTGGTTGGAAACAATAGGCTAGTGTGGAAGTCCTCTCTTGTTAGTGTGTGGGGAAACACATTTTTGATTACAGAAAATACAGTCCAGACAAATTACAACTTATAAAGGGTTTATAGAACATTCATAAAGTTGTTATTGAACACTACATAGATCTGTCACAATGATCTTTTGCAATCCTTTATGTAGCATGAAATTTGCTTATGAGTGATTTCTGAAGCATCTATGTAGGCCTTATAAAGGATTTTATGAAGGCATTATGTGTTAAACATTGTAGTGTTAACAATTAGACTCAAGTTACACGATAATGGAGTATAATACACACTACATACACTATAGTCAGAACCTTTAATATATGGTTATAAATGGCTCTGCCTATACTAAGTTGATCGTCATTTGATGGTGATGGACAGCCTGTCCCACAGGGCTTAGGGAGCTGACTCTGAGTGCGAACCCCTGCATCACAACCAAGGGCTGGGCCCGCCTGGCCATTGCTGTGGCCCACAGCTCCCAGCTCCGAGTCCTCAACCTGGACTACAACCCCCTGGGTAAGAACCAATCACCAGGACACAAAACCAATTACTGTACTTTATATCAGTGAGTTTCTTAATATGGAATCAGCTTATATGGAATCAGATTCTTATTTAAACAATTTAAGGAATATTACACTCAACCACAAGTGTTGCCATAAAAATATTTGCATCTCAGTTAACTTTGGATAATCAATATTAACTTTTGTGAACTTCAAGTATTGGAACAACATTAGCTTTTGTGTCATTATGTGTAATGGGACCTTTTCAGAGGTGAAACACTCCTGAGATACCAATGACTTCCATTTTATGGGCCAGTTGCTTCCTGCATTACCAAATAAGGTTTTTTATTCAGGCATGTCTCCATGACAACCCCCTGGCTGCTTGCACTACAGAGAAATAGGAAAGGAGGTCATTTTAGGAACATAGGCTGTGTTTACACAGGCAGCCCAATTCTGTTTTTTTTTCTCACTAATTGGTCTTTTGACCAATAATATCAGCTCTGAAAAAGATCTGGTGTGAAAAGGTCTGATTTGATTGGTCAAAAGACCAATTAGTGGAACAAAATATCAGAATTGGGCTGCCTGTGTGAACACAGTCATGTTGTCCCCAGTTAAATTAAGATATAATTTTAGAGGGCACACTTGATACACAATTATATGTCTATGGTCATTTTGGGGCAAGTATACAGGGTAAAACATTCTGATTCCATTTCATCCACCTGAAATATGGGGTGTCAATGACATTCTTAATGACTGGGGGGTAGCCCCAACCAGGACTCGAACCCGAGTTCAGCTACTGTCAACCCAACACCTTAGCTGTTAAGCCAAGAGATCCGAATCCCTCTACGATGTCGCTAGGTGTTGGGTTAAGGTGGTTACACTACCCCCTTTCTTCGGGAGAGCGTGTCCCCACTATTCTCTATACCAAGTCCCTCCCGTGAACCGCCTCTCGAATGGCCTCACTGGCACCATTTTGAAGAATCTCAAATATAAAATATATTTTGATTTGTTTAACACATTTTTGGTTACTACATGATTCCATATGTGTTATTTCATAGTTTTGATATCTTTCTTCACTATTATTCTACAAAGTAGAAAATAGTAAAAATAACCCTTGAATGAGTAAGTGTTCTAAAACTTTTGACCGGTAATGTATATGTATAATTTATATGATTTGTGATGTGCATATGCCCGATGAAGGTGAAAGCCGAAACATAGTGTACTTTATCAGCTTTTGGAATAAATTAACTGATTATGCAATTACTAATCTGTGTGCGGTCTAAATCTGTCGTTCAGTGTCAATGACACCCAACACATCAATCAGCTTTCTGTAATGCTCAAATTAGACTTTCCACCAGTCTAATGTCCATTGCTCGTGTTTCTTGGCCCAAGCAAGTCTCTTCTTCTTATTGGTGTCCTTTAGTAGTGGTTTCTTTGCAGCAATTCAACCATGAAGGCCTGATTCATACAGTCTCCTCTGAACAGTTGATGTTGAGATGTGTCGGTTACTTGAACTCTGTGAAGCATTTACAGTGGGGAAAAAAAGTATTTAGTCAGCCACCAATTGTGCAAGTTCTCCCACTTAAAAAGATGAGAGAGGCCTGTAATTTTCATCATAGGTACACGTCAACTATGACAGACAAAATGAGAAAAAAAAATCCAGAAAATCACATTGTAGGATTTTTTATGAATTTATTTGCAAATTATGGTGGAAAATAAGTATTTGGTCAATAACAAAAGTTTCTCAATACTTTGTTATATACCCTTTGTTGGCAATGACACAGGTCAAACGTTTTCTGTAAGTCTTCACAAGGTTTTCACACACTGTTTCTGGTATTTTGGCCCATTCCTCCATGCAGATCTCCTCTAGAGCAGTGATGTTTTGGGGCTGTCGCTGGGCAACACAGACTTTCAACTCCCTCCAAAGACTTTCTATGGGGTTGAGATCTGGAGACTGGCTAGGCCACTCCAGGACCTTGAAATGCTTATTACGAAGCCACTCCTTCGTTGCCCGGGCGGTGTGTTTGGGATCATTGTCATGCTGAAAGACCTAGCCACGTTTCATCTTCAATGCCCTTGCTGATGGAAGGAGGTTTTCACTCAAAATCTCACGATACATGGCCCCATTCATTCTTTCCTTTACATGGATCAGTCGTCCTGGTCCCTTTGCAGAAAAACAGCCCCAAAGCATGATGTTTCCACCCCTATGCTTCACAGTAGGTATGGTGTTCTTTGGATGCAACTCAGCATTCTTTGTCCTCCAAACACGACGAGTTGAGTTTTTACCAAAAAGTTATATTTTGGTTTCATCTGACCATATGACATTCTCCCAATCCTCTTCTGGATCATCCAAATGCACTCTAGCAAACTTCAGACGGGCCTGGACATGTACTGGCTTAAGCAGGGGGACACGTCTGGCACTGCAGGATTTGAGTCCCTGGCGGCGTAGTGTGTTACTGATGGTAGGCTTTGTTACTTTGTTCCCAGCTCTCTGCAGGTCATTCACTAGGTCCCCCCGTGTGGTTCTGGGATTTTTCCTCACCGTTCTTGTGATCATTTTGACCCCACGGGGTGAGATCTTGCGTGGAGCCCCAGATCGAGGGAGATTATCAGTGGTCTTGTATGTCTTCCATTTCCTAATAATTGCTCCCACAGTTGATTTCTTCAAACCAAGCTGCTTACCTATTGCAGATTCAGTCTTCCCAGCCTGGTGCAGGTCTACAATTTTGTTTCTGGTGTCCTTTGACAGCTCTTTGGTCTTGGCCATAGTGGAGTTTGGAGTGTGACTGTTTGAGGTTGTGGACAGGTGTCTTTTATACTGATAACAAGTTCAAACAGGTGCCATTAATACAGGTAACGAGTGGAGGTCAGAGAAGCCTCTTAAAGAAGAAGTTACAGGTCTGTGAGAGCCAGAAATCTTGCTTGTTTGTAGGTGACCAAATACTTATTTTCCACCATAATTTGCAAATAAATTCATTAAAAATCCTACAATGTGATTTTCTGGATTTTTTTTCCTCAATTTGTCTGTCATAGTTGACATGTACCTATGATGAAAATTACAGGCCTCTCTCATCTTTTTAAGTGGGAGAACTTGCACAATTGGTGGCTGACTAAATACTTTTTTCCCCACTGTATTTGGGCTGCAATTTCTGAGGCTGGTAACTATAATGAACTTATCCTCTGCAGCGGAGGTAACTCTGGGTTTTTCTTCATTTTTACTATTTCCTACATTGTAGAATAATAGTGAAGACATCAAAACTATGAAATAACACATATGGAATCATGTAGTATCCAAAAAAGTGTTATATTATATTTTGATTCTTCAAATAGCCACCCTTTGCCTTGATGACAGCTTTGCACACTCTTGGCATTCTCTCAACCAGCTTCACCTGGAATGCTTTTCCAACAGTCTTGAAGGAGTTCCCACATATGCTGAGCACTTGTTGGCTGCTTTTCCTTCACTCTGCCGTCTGACTCATCCCAAACCATCTCAATTTGGTTGAGGTCGGGGGATTGTGGAGGCCAGGTCATCTGATGCAGCACTCCATCAATCTCCTTATTTGTAAAATAGCCCTTACACAGCCTGGAGGTGTGTTGGGTCATTGTCCTGTTGAAAAACAAATTATAGTCACACTAAGCCCAAACCAGATGGGATGGTGTATCACTGCAGAATGCTGTGGTAGCCATGCTGGTTAAGTGTGTCTTGAATTATAAATAAATCACAGACAGTGTCACCAGCAAAGCACCCACACACCATAACACCTCCTCCTCCATGCTTTATGGTGGGAACTACACATGCAGAGATCATCCGTTCACCCACACCGCGTCACACAAAGACACGGCGGTTGGAACCAAAGATCTCCAATTTGGACTCCAGACGAAAGGACAGATTTCCACCGGTCTAATGTCTATTGCTCGTTTTTCTTGGCCCAAGCAGGTCTCTTCTTCTTATTGGTGTCTTTTAGTAGTGGTTTCTTTGCAGCAATTCGACCATGAAGGCCTGATTCACACAGTCCCCTCTGAACAGTTGATTTTGAGATGTGTCTGTTACTGGAACTTTGTGAAGAATTTATTTGGGCTGCAATTTCTGAGGCTGGTAACTCTAATGAACTTATCCTCTGCAGCAGAGGTAACTCTGGGTCTTCCATTCCTGTGGCGGTCCTCATGAGAGCCAGTTTCATCATAGCGCTTGATGGTTTTTGGGACTGCACTTGAAGAAACTTTAAAAGTTCTTGAAATTTTCCGTATTGACTGACCTTCATGTCTTAAAGTAATGATGGACTGTCATTTCTCTTTGCTTATTTGAGCTGTTCTTGGTCTTTTACCAAAAAGGGCTATATTCTGTATACCCCCCCTACCTTGTCACAACACAACTGATTGGCTCAAACGCATTAAGAAGGAAAGAAATTCCACAAATTAACTTTTAAGAAGGCACACCTGTTAATTGAAATGCATTCCAGGTGACTACCCCATGAAGCTGGTTGAGAGAATGCCAAGAGTGTGCAAAGCTGTCATCAAGGCAAAGGTTGGCTACTTTGAAGAATCTCAAATATAAAATATATTTTGATTTGTTTTACACTTTTTTGGTTACAACATGATTCCATATGTGTTATTTCATAGTTTTTATATCTTTCTTCACTATCTTTCTTCACTATTAAAATAAAGAAAAACCCTTGAATGAGTAAGTGTTCTAAAACTTTTGACCGGTAATGTATATATATAATTTACATGATTTGTGTGTAAATAGTATTTTAGTTGTTTCTTGGTGTCTTTTCTATACATAACTATTTTTAAAAAATTATTTTGAATTTAATGTTGAATCTTATGTTGTTCTTGTCTATTACTGTGCTGTACTTTGTCATGTATTTTTATGTTTTATGTGGAGCCCAGGAAGAGTAGCTGCTGCATGTGCAGTAGCTAATGGGGATCCTAATAAACTAATCGAAACCATCCCACTTCTGACACCAGTGTACAGAATACGGGACTCGAACACGGCTCCAGCAACTGTCAACCCGACACCTTAGCCATTACGCCAAGATATCCAAACCGCTTGATGAGGTCGCTAGGTGTTGGGTTATGGTTGCTACAATACATATCATGTTGAAATGATGTGCATACGCCCGATGAAGGTGAAAGCCGAAACATAGTGTACTTTATCAGCTTTATGCTTTTGGAATAAATTAACTGATTATGCAATTACTAATCTGCGTGTGGTCTAAATCTGTCGTTCAGGGTCAATGACACCAAACACATCAATCAGCTTTCTTTAATGCTCAAATGACAGACTCACCTTCTGAACTTACTCATGTTTTGGTTGTGTTGGGGTTCCAGGGGACCAGATTGCAGGTATGCTAGCAGTTGCTGTGGCGTCCAGCAGAACTCTGGAGGTGTTGGATCTGGAGGGAACAGGACTCACAAATCAGTCAGCACAGGTCTGTAACATCAACATCACCACCACCAGAGCAAAGTCATCAGCACCACTGAGTGTGTGGAAAAACATTACAAAGACAGTGAGAAGAAATCTGATGTAGTTTCATTATGACTTAAAACTCATTCTGTTGGGGGAGTTCTACTCTCTTATCCCCTATAAATTATCTGGTTTACTTTCCTCACTACCTAATTAATGTTCAATGACCCTTCTCAAATGTGGTGCCAATTACCAGCAATACTCATGCCAATCATCAGTTAAAAGATAATACCGTTTTTAATTTATTTTAATTTATTTTCAGAAATGTTATGCAGTTAGCTTTTTACTTACCCTCTTGTGATCCCTTTAAATATTTTCCCCATGTCTCCCTCTCACACTCTCACTGTTATTGACCCGTAACCCTGAATCTCGTATGCAGGGAAGATGTGCTTACCTAGCTGTGAGAAGATACTCTTCTCTCACAAAGCACTTTGCTAGCTGTGGCCTGTTCACTGGCTATTGAAAAGTACTCAAGGTTAGTGCTATCTGGAATCTTTGAGACGTCCCTACCCTAACCTTAACCATTTTACATTTCAACTTCAGTGGTGTAGGGACATCCCAAGGATCTCAGATAGCATGGACCCTTACGGACAACTTATCCATTTCAACACTTTTAATTCATTTTCTAGCTAGTCCCTCTCCAGTCTAAAGCTAGCTGATTTATAAAGAGACTGGCCTTGACATGTACTTCACACTAAGGAGAAAAAAATATGTACACAGCTTTTTAGACAGAGAGTATAAATCTGAGTAAATCTATATATCCGAGCAAATAAATACATATCGGTTTTTACATTGAATCAGTGACGTGCAGTCAGGGTAGGCAGTGGTAATATAATACAACAAGCTGTTATGAAAAGCCAAATGAAAAATACAATTATATTAAAATATAGTCATTATGTTTCGCTATCTAATGATTTTCTCAATGATTCTGGTGGTTTTTATGCTCAAAATCTCAGGAAAGGCGCCATACCTTCCTTAACAGCCACTCAAATCGTTGATGCCACAGCCATTCCTGACTCCAGTCACTGTTAATTGATAGGGTCAGCATACTGCTTTGCCTAGCTTGAAGTAGCTTAATTCGTTGCATTGAGCCAATTTCATATTTTGCGCATGCGTATTGCCTAAACATGTTGTGTGGGTATTGCCTTGGTATGCTGTGCACATTTGGGCGTGTCTACATATGAACTGAACCAAGCTAGCTAGCTAGCAAAAACAACCTGAACGCGCCATTTGGAGGGTTCGAAGAGTGGAACGTCAACTATAATGAAAGTTAAGACCAGACAGAGGCAGCATACAGGAGCTCTAGCTACAAGACATGACATGACAGGCAACCACCATCTCCCTCACTGCTAGCTGTCGGGTAGGCGAACAGTGAGTACTGGACTGTCCACTTATCTGAAATGTCATTACCAATTAATACTTTTTACCCTGACTTTTACACATCTGGGACATTTACTTTTGCTTTGTGGATAATGGGAATGGGAATTACTTTTTGTGTCAGTGTGAAAATGGAATGGGGATGCGTCTGCTGTGTGCATGCAGAATAAAATAATGAACATGGGATTCTGCTGTGACTTTTACAACGCTGTCACTGAGAGGTTCACCAGACTAATGGACATAATTTACAAGTAAAGGTAGGCCTAAATGCATTTTCCTTTACAATTTGCGGGTTAGGTTACTGTTGAATCATGAGAATAGACAACATCCCGTTGCGGCATGTAGCCTAGTGGTTAAGAGCGTTGGGCCAGTAACCGAATGGTTGCTGGTTAGTATCCCCGAGCCGACTAGGTGAAAAATCAGCCAATGTCCCCTTGAGCAAGGTACTTAACCCTAATTGCTCCTCCTATAAGTCGCTCTAGATAAGAGCTTCTGCTAAATGACAAAAAAGTTACAAAATGTACAATGCATTTGATTTATCAAGCTAGAATTGTTTTGATGAGACACTTTTTTGATGTTTTGAACTGCATTTTTCAGCCATTTCGATTGTTGATAAGAACATTTAGTAAGAACCTTATTATGTATGTGTGTGTAATAATATTTCACATAATAATATTATGTTTGTGTGTGTGTGTGTTTGCACATTACGCACATTGAAATAATTGTAAATCCACTGTGAAACTCTATGGAGTTTGCATTGCACATTTTTCAGATGAAATATGTCCATACAAAATGTGTCTTTTAGTGCCACATACAGTGGCGATTTTAGCATGTAGATCTTGGTGGGGCAAACTCACCGATTATTTTTTAGATGCATGCCAGCAAAGCCACAACACAACACTAAACAATACATTAATTGCTCTATAACGGTGACAAACGGTGCCCACAAACTGTTAGAGCCTACATAAAGCTGTCCCAACAGCAGAGCTTTCTTTTCAGCACCATGGAGTGAATCCTTACCACTGCGACACCTGGCTATCAGCGGAGCCTTGTCTGGCAGCAAAACAGTTCATTCAGCCTCATTTACTGCCTTATAAAAAAACATAGCTGATATGGCTGACTTGCTTAAACAAATGTGGTTTCTACTGACAATTGAGATGTACAAACTATGGCATAAGGGGACGACGAGCGGATAAGAGGCAATCTGTAATTTTTGATTAAGACAATGAGCGAGCTAGGACGGACGTAGTCAATATAACTATTTGTTCAGCACTTTTGAAATGTACAGAGACAGAATTCAGAATATGGGCCGTTCTTACAGTATTCTCCCTGTACACCAAGTCAGATCTGTAGGATAAATAAAGGGGGCATATAAGCAGACAATGAAAGCTCTTACAATATTCGATGATGACATTTCTCTAAAACAGGCTGTAGGCTACATGTGCACCACCAAGTCAGAACAGTAGGCTAAATTAGGAGGGGGAAAGGGACCGAATTATTAGGGTGAGGCACATGGGCTACTAACAGCTTACTACACAACATACACTTTGTATTATTTTCTTAGCTACAGTATACATATCTCCCTGGCATATTACATAATTTATGCAGCAGCATCCAATACATTTTTGGACTCACCTTGTTGTGCTGTGCTCACTTGAACAGGAAGGTGGCGCAGCGGTCCTTCATGGGCAAATTTTGTCACCAAACTTTGTCATCGAAGTCTGGCATTCTCTGGATTTATGGTGCTTTCAAGACAACTGGGAACTCTGAAAAAAAATTAAGGTTGAATCATGATGTCCGTGATGATCTTCAGGTCGGAGCTCTAGAAAGAGGCCCGAGTTCCCGACTTGGAATTCCAAGTTGGATGACCGTTCAAAATGTATTTTCCCAGGCGGAGCTCGTTTTTTTCAGAGTTCCCAGTTGTCTTGAACTCACTGAAGTCTGAGATTTCCCAGTTTCCAGTTTCCAGTTGTTTTGAACACGGCAGAAGTCATGCTGGATTGACAGCATGGCCAATGTATTCCACCTTTTCTGGCCCATGGTGTTGAATGTTTATCCTTTTCAGCTTGGAAAAGAGACCCTTAAACCCAGACTTGGACCACACACCCACTCCACTGAATAGCAGGCTAGCGATTGCTTTGCAACGCTTGCAGTTAGCCACTGATTCCTTCCAAACCACTCATTGTTGAATTTGCGATTTCCAACTGGTTGTGTAATGTTTATGTCCAATGGCCGATGAGCACCGATACGTTTTATCTATAATTTCTCTTAATAATTTCTCTTCATATGACAAGGATTGAAAAGGATTTGCCAGTAGATTGTCGACTTGATTCATGATGATGACTGCTAGCTTTCTAGCTAAGATTTTGAAAGTATGATGTTGACATGATCAGTCCAATCAAAGCTATGGTAGATATAATGTGATTTGATGTTATTTTATCTGTGGCCAATGACCTTGAGCCTTCTTGGATGGGCACTTCTAATGTGACTCTATGGTAGCACCCAAGGGGCTTGAATCTTTTTGCTCTACCCGTAGATTGAACACTGACAGAACACTGAGCCAATCACAGCACAACTAGAGAACATTACCAACCCCTACGCTCCGTATTTTCCGCTGACTGGCCCACCACCACAGAAAGCACTGAGCTAGGCTGAAACACTTGCATTTTGGAGCTGCCTTACTCAAGAAAGCAAAAAAGAGACCATGTTTGTATGCGGCTTTATTAACTCAATTATGTGACATGTACATATTACCTCAATTACCTCGACTAACCTGTGCCCCTGGACATTGACTCTGTACCGGTACCCCCTGTATATAGCCTCGCTACTGTTATTCTAATGCTGCTCTTTAATTATTTGTTATTTTTCTTCTTCTTTTTTTATTTATCTATTTTTTACTTAACACTTATTTTTCTTAAAACTGCATTGTTGGTTAAGGGTTTGTAAGTAAGCATTTCACTGTAAGGTCTGTTGTATTCGGCGCATGTGACAAATACAATTTGATTTGATTTGATGAATGCCAAAATAACATGCACCTGCCCTGCCCTGAATGACGGGTCGCCACTGGCCACCTATCAGTTGTAACTGTGGATGCTACATCAATGTATGGCTGAGCTGAGTTGAGCAGTGTGTCATTTTGTCGGATGATATGCAATATGCCGCCATCTGAGGCTATCGCTTGTTTATATTGGCTACATTGGTATTTACATTTGGTGAAAATTGTTTGTCAATTTTGGTTAATAGCCTATGCCACTCTGGTTGTTGGAGGTCCGTTGTATGATGAACATGAACTTCATCAAGGTTTATTTGTGAGTAAATCTGGCTTTGATATTAGCCAGTGCTTACCCATCCACCAAACCACCGCACGTCACTGCATTGAAGTGACTTGTTACATGCTGTAGTAATTCAAGAAAAACAAACCACTTAAATGTTAGTTCATAACCTGGAATAACAATCCCCACTGGCAAGCAGAACTACCTACACCTACAAACCCATCGAGTTCTCTTATCAACCCCTACTGTAGCCTAAATGTGCTTCATGACAGAGTCTCCCTCCCCTGTACCTTCAGGTCTTCCTCGAAATGGTGGAGAACTACCCCACCTGTCTGCGCGTGCTGGTCCTGGCTGAGAACGCCATCAGCCCCGAGCTGCAGCAGCAGATCTCAGACCTGCTCTCCGAGGGAGAGGAGGAGGACGACAAGGAGGGCGAGGCACGAGGCAGCGCTGCCATCCCCACTAGGGAGAAAACGGCCTGGATCCCCCACAGCAGTAAAGGCTGACCTGACCAACTAAAATGGTCTCCTTCCCTGTCCTTTCTTAGTTATAGTCTAGATAGGACAGTTTTTCAGATTCTAAATAAATCATTTTGTATAATAAGCGTCTATAAACCTGAAACATCGGTATAGGTGATGACCTCAAAAAATGATGACTGATTTTCAATCAATCTCTAGTATTGGGGGGAAACAAACTAACCCATTTGCTTAAGAATGAGGCCTGCTAGCTCTGTTTGAGCTTTGGCCAACTCTGTTTGTGCTTTGGCCAACTCGCTCGTTGTCATCCCTTACAAGTTCAAAGGAGTTGGCTAGAGCACTAACAGAGCTAGCAACCAGGCTAGTTGTAGAGTTGTAGAAGTCTTAAACTCGTTTCCGTTGTCTCTGCCCATTGCAGACTCCCACCCCCAAATGGTCCTGCTGACGTCAGGTCTAGGTGAGAGCCTACTGGCTGAGATTGAGATGTGATTCCACAGCCTTCCTACATTTTTGTTTTTTACCTCCTTTCTTTATGCTAATCTGCACATAATAGAGTTGCAATATCACCTGGTAGCGTGCAATCAATCACACTTTTTGCATGACCTGTAGCACTTGTACATAACAGAATATGTTTTGGAGCAGGCACAAAATTCTTAACACACACACCAAGTGACTTATAGGCAATAGGGAATTTATTTATTTTAAACATGTAAAGTCTATTTATAGTTCCTATTTAAAGGTTTATGTAACCAATTAAAGTCTGTTTGCTTTGATAGATCGACTACATAGGATTGTTGTGATGGTCTGATGTGATGTCAGAATAAATCTGTTTACATCTTCTTAAAGACGTTTGGATTCTTATGTTATTTCCTGATTGGAATAGCCTACTTATTAATGCAATTAACAAATTGGCATGCCAATTCCTGTATAGCACTGTACAGTAGCTAACTGAAAACTGTTTTCCTTTGACCTAAATGTCCTTTTCTCTCCACTGAATGCTATACTAATGCCTCATATGAACATTATTTGAAATTGAATAGCCACAGGATGTTTCTGGGATCAGCACTTAAATGTCACATACAAAACATCTGAATTGAATGTACAGTGGCTTGCGAAAGTATTCACCCCCCTTGGCATTTTTCCTATTTTGTTGCCTTACAACCTGGAATTAAAATTGATTTGTTTGGGGTTTGTATCATTTGATTTACCCAACATGCCTACCACTTTGAAGATGCAAAATATTTATTCTTGTGAAACAAACAAGAAATAAGACAAAAAAACAGAAAACTTGAGCGTGTGTAACTATTCACCCCCCAAAGTCAATACTTTGTAGAGCCACCTTTTGCAGCAATTACAGCTGCAAGTCTCTTGGGGTATGTCTCTATAAGCTTGGCACATCTAGCCACTGGGATTTTTGCCCATTCTTCAAGGCAAAACTGCTCCAGCTCCTTCAAGTTGGATGGGTTCCGCTGGTGTACAGCAATCTTTAAGTCATACCACAGATTATCAATTAGATTGAGGTCTGGGCTTTGACTAGGCCATTCCAAGACATTTAAATGTTTCCCCTTAAACCACTCAAGTGTTGCTTTAGCAGTATGCTTAGGGTCATTGTCCTGCTGGAAGGTGAACCTCCGTCCCAGTCTCAAATCTCTGGAAGACTGAAACAGGTTTCCCTCAAGAATCTCCCTGGATTTAGCGCCATCCATCATTCCTTCAATTCTGACCAGTTTCCCAGTCCCTGCCGATGAAAAACGTCCCCACAGAATGATGCTGCCACCACCATGCTTCACGGATGCTGTTCTCGGGGTGATCAGAGGTGTTGGATTTGCGCCAGACATAGCGTTTTCCTTGATGGCCAAAAAGCTCAATTTGAGTCTCATCTGACCAGAGTACCTTCTTCCATATGTTTGGGTAGTCTCCCACATGGCTTTTGGCGAACACCAAACGTGTTTGCTTATTTTTTTCTTTAAGCAATGGCTTTTTTCTGGCCACTCTTCCGTAAAGCCCAGCTCTGTGGAGTGTACGGCTTAAAGTGGTCCTATGGACAGATACTCCAATCTCCGCTGTGGAGCTTTGCAGCTCCTTCAGGGTTATCTTTGGTCTCTTTGTTACCTCTCTGATTAATGCCCTCCTTGCCTGGTTCGTGAGTTTTGGTGGGCGGCCCGCTCTTGGTAGGTTTGTTGTGGTGCCATATTCTTTCCATTTTTTAAATAATGGATTTAATGGTGCTCCGTGGGATGTTCAAAGATTCTGATATTTTTTTATAACCCAACCCTGATCTGTACTTCTCCACAACTTTGTCCCTGACCTGTTTGGAGAGCTCCTTGGTCTTCATGGTGCTGCTTGCTTGGTGGTGCCCCTTGCTTAGTGGTGTTGCAGACTCTGGGGCCTTTCAGAACAGGTGTATACAGTGGGGAGGACAAGTATTTGATACACTGCCGATTTTGCAGGTTTTCCTACTTACAAAGCATGTAGAGGTCTGTAATTTTAATCATAGGCACACTTCAACTGTGAGACGGAATCTAAAAAATCCAGAAAATCACATTGTATGATTTTTAGGTAATTCATATGCATTTTATTGCATGACATAAGTATTTGATACATCAGAAAAGCAGAACTTAATATTTGGTACAGAAACCTTTGTTTGCATTTACAGAGATCATACATTTCCTGTAGGTCTTGACCAGGTTTGCACACACTGCAGCAGGGATTTTGGCCCACTCCTCCATACAGACCTTATCCAGATCCTTCAGGTTTCGGGGCTGTCGCTGGGCAATACAGACTTTCAGATCCCTCCAAAGATGTTCTATTGGGTTCAGGTCTGGAGACTGGCTAGGCCACTCCAGGACCTTGAGATGCTTCTTACGGAGCCACTCCTTAGTTGCCCTGGCTGTGTGTTTTGGGTCGTTGTCATGCTGGAAGACCCAGCCACGACCCATCTTCAATGCTCTTACTGAGGGAAGGAGGTTGTTGGCCAAGATCTCGCGATACATGGCGCCATCCATCCTCCCCTCAATACGGTGCAGTCGTCCTGTCCCCTTTACAGAAAAGCATCCCCAAAGAATGATGTTTCCACCTCCATGCTTCAAGGTTGGGATGGTGTTCTTGGGGTTGTACTCATCCTTCTTCTTCCTCCAAACACGACGAGTGGAGTTTAGACCAAAAAGCTCAATTTTGTCTCATCAGACCACATGACCTTCTCCCATTCCTCCTCTGGATCATCCAGATGGTCATTGGCAAACTTCAGACGGGCCTGGACATGCGCTGGCTTAAGCAGGGGGACCTTGCCTGCGCTGCAGGAATTTAATCCATGACGGCGTAGTGTGTTACTAATGGTTTTCTTTGAGACTGTGGTCCCAGCTCTCTTCAGGTCATTGACCAGGTCCTGCTGTGTAGTTCTGGGCTGATCCCTCACCTTCCTCATGATCATTAATGCCCCACGAGGTGAGATCTTGCATGGAGCCCCAGACCAAGGGTGATTGACCGTCATCTTGAACTTCTTCTATTTTCTAATAATTGCGCCAACAGTTGTTGCCTTCTCACCAAGCTGCTTGCCTATTGTCCTGTAGCCCATCCCAGCCTTGTGCAGGTCTACAATTTTATCCCTGATGTCCTTACACAGCTCTCTGGTCTTGGCCATTGTGGAGAGGTTGGAGTCTGTTTGATTGAGTGTGTGGACAGGTGTCTTTTATACAGGTAACGAGTTCAAACAGGTGCAGTTAATACAGGTAATGAGTGGAGAACAGGAGGGCTTCTTAAAGAAAAACGAACAGATCTGTGAGAGACGGAATTCTTACTGGTTGGTAGGTGATCAAATACTTATGTCATGCAATAAAATGCAAATTAATTACTTAAAAATCATACAATGTGATTTTCTGGATTTTTGTTTTACATTCCGTCTCTCACAGTTGAAGTGTACCTATGATAAAAATGACAGACCTCTACATGCTTTGTAAGTAGGAAAACCTGCAAAATCGGCAGTGTATCAAATACTTGTTCTCCCCACTGTATATACTGAGATCATGTGACACTTAGATTGCACAAAGGTGGACTTTATTTAACTAATTATGTGACTTCTGAAGGTAATTGCACCAGATCTTATTTAGGGGCTTCATAACAAAGGGGGTGAATACATATGCATGCACCACTTTTCCGTTATTTATTTTTTAGAATTTTTTGAAACAAGTTATGTTTTTCATTTCACTTCACCAATTTGAACTATTTTGTGTATGTCCATTACATGAAATCCAAATAAAAATCCATTTAAATTACAGGTTGTAATGCAACAAAATAGGGGGATGAATACTTTTGCAAGGCACTGTAACGGAGCATGAGAGCATATGGTAAATCAGCACCATCACACCATGACAATGCAGCAGTGTTATCATTCATCACCCTATATAATACATTGACCCCACCCTCATCATCCCCACAGCCCTCAGTCAAAGCTGATTAAGTGGTGTTTACTAGGACAGCCATTATCCCCATCAAATCCCCTTGCTTGAGCCCCTTGTGCCTACATGCATTTCTAACCTGGCCCATGTTAGTTATGAAATTCTATTGAGGTTTCTTGCAAAACTTGACATCAATACATCTTAATGTCTCTCTCCAGTGTGTTTAGTGATGTTATGGACATAGCACTAACCTTAACATTAACTACATTATTATGACATTCTATAGAATATTTAAGTCGCTCTGGATAAGAGCGTCTGCTAAATGACTAAAATGTAAATGTAATATTATTTGTTATCTTTGATGTCTTAACACATCTGTTTTCTTTGTGATGTTGTGGACTGAGGGTACAACACGTCGAGATTGAGGCATGAATCTCTGCATGAAAGAGATAGAGAGCAGGAATTAGAGGCAATTCATTTCGATGCACATTCCAGAACAGCACATTCTCATGTAAGCATAAACCAATCACTCTCTACAATTCACATTCAGTTTGGTTGGTAATCAGTTCCCAAGGACACTAATGTTATCTTAACTATCACTGATCTACTGAGTAATACAGTGAGGCAGGTTTCTGATGTTGGGTAGCATAAATGAAAAGTGCTCCATTTCCGTAGGAGAGCAGCCAGGACAGCTAAATAATATGAGTGGAAACAGATATCCATAATTAATGGACATCTCGGATCAATTTTCCAAGTTGGTAAGTGACCGTGACAAACAGAAGCCTGTTTTCCAGTGTATCATCGTATCACTATATGCAACCCCTCGCAGGACATGTGCTCCGAGGGTCCCTACATCTGGTGACATGATAAAATTGTCATCAAGGGCACAGCCATTAGTTTCAATGTTGATTATCATGTCAATGTGACGGACTGACAGCAACTGTAAGTAGGCTACTTACAAACGTATTGTTCATAAGCAGATTGCTGACCCTGTTGCAGTCAACTTCATTGGATGCCATACAAAGAGATTCCTATAAAGAGGACAGAATGCCCACAGGGAGGCAGGCTGGTTCACTGCTGCACCATACCAAACATGAAAGCTGCAATACTGGCAAAGATAAGATTGTCTGCTATGCAATCAGATGCCTCTGTGACGTGAAGAATCTCCTCTCTAATACAGGCATTTAATTCAATTAGGGTTCCTTTTTAATCGCGGTCCCCTTTCTCAGACAATGAAGGCATCGTTTGAGCCATGGAAATCTAATTTGAGCTGAAACCAGATCTTATTCTTTTGATGGAGCTCTAATCACCTAGGTTTTACCATTCTGTGAGAACCTTTGAGCGTTTACCAAATGACACGTCTAAATCATTCACACATATCACAGGAGGGTAAAGTCTTTAGGTTTTTATGTTTGTATTCATATCAGTTAATCATTGGGGGGAAAACTCAACCTCCAACCGGACTAACAATTTGAAAGTGTTCCTCAATTGCAAGTCCAGGATGACAGTTATTATCAGTAGGGGG